AATATTTTTACAATTTAAAATAACTATTTTCTATTTGAATATATTTTAAAATGCAATTTATTCCTGTGATGGCAATTTTGTCCAGTCTTCAGTGTCACAAGATCCTTCAGAAATCATTATAATATGCTGATTTGCTGCTCAAGAAACATTTCTTATTATTATAATTATCATGTTGAAAACAGTTGTGTGCAATATTTTTCAGGATTCTTTGATGAATAGAAAGTTCAAAAGAACAGCATTTAGCCGAGATAGAAAGCTTTTGTAACATTATAAATGTCTTAAAGTCCCCCTGTAGTGAAAATCAAGTTTTTTATGATGTTTATTTGTCTATATGGTGTTTTTAATATGCCTTTAGACAAACCATGTGCCAATCTATTAATCAACACCATTGCGGAGTATTTTCTCCTTAAAACTGTAGTTTCCCAAAGACTGACCCAGAAATACGGTTTGAAACAGCCCTTGGTTTTCTACGTCACAAACCAATAACCAATCACGTCAAGGGATCGATTCCTATCACTAGCATGCAAAATATACCAATACCAGCACAAAACCAAAAATAAATTAGACCAAAAAACCCATGAAGCTGTGGTTTAATGTGAATTTAGAACCGCTAACTTGTATTATAACCCGTGGCAAGAGTGTAAACGTAGCCCGGAGTCAGACGCACCTCTCCCGCACTTCACACGCGTATGCTCGGGGGCGCAAATTAACAATCACAAACGGCTGCATTCGAGTCTTCAAGGCATTTTAGGACACAACATCGTCAAGTAAGTAACTTTAACGAATGTTACAGTATTCACTGTAGTTGTCCGCTAGTAAAAACAGTTTTATCAGTCATTATCCGTGTATGCCATTGTTTTGCGTTTACTACAGTTCAGTGGATCAGGAGGCGCTGGCTGTGTGACTGAGTGGAGGCGGGGCTAATTTGCATATTCATAGATCAGCGTATAGTAAATGAGGCAAGGGTGTAGAGTTACATTCAAGCTATTTTGAGGAATGAGAAAAGTATTTTCACAAGAAAAAACATTTAAATATGTAATTTTGTTAATCAAAGATAAGTTTTAAGGGATAAAATATTTGACTACAGGGGGACTTTAACAGTTTTTATTTGTAAATCTGTTTGATTTTAAATGTGGTGTAAGAATGTTGGTCCGCACTGCATATACCTGTACTACTGCAGGTACTACATGACTACGATACTGAGACAAATAGTTCTCCAACGCCAAGTTTACATGGCAAAGGTGGCACAGAAGCGCTTCTAAACTGGCAGTTAGGTGTCTTTACACAGACTGTCTGATGCTGCTCAGAGGTGGCATAAATGCATTTACACTGCAATTTTCCATTTACTTCGGAACTGGATATATAATACTAAAAGTACATATGATGGGGGATTATGGAGATACAGGTACATAAAAGGTACATTTATTCCAATTCTTCATTAGCGTTTGTTAACGTGTTTAATAAAGCAACTAAATACTCCGTCTCCTCGAAGCACTGGATTGACAGCTACCTGCAGGCTGTGCTGGTCCTCTCTCAGCAGTGCTGGAGGAGGCAGTGGCTGCTGGACGGATGGATGGTGGGCTGCTCATCTGGTTATACCAAGCGGCGATGTCAGCGGGCGTCGCGGCACACGCAGATGTGGAGCTGCGGCCGGGTGCCTGGCAACCGAATTGAGGCGGAGGAAAGAGCGGCGGGGACATGAGCACCCAGCTCTGCCAGCTCACATAACCACTGTAATAGCGCCACATCCACTGCTGCAGCCGCTTGCAGTATTCAGTCGTTGTCATGTTGTCATCGGACCCTTGACCGTTTTTGACCGTTTCTTCCGTCATGTTTACTCCTTGAGACTTGCTCCGGAGAATTCAGTTCCCCTGTTTCTCCTTCAGTGCGTCTGCGCAGCATCAAGACGATAAACACGTCGGTCCTCATGATTTCGCGCATGCTCTGTCGAGCGGATCGTGTGCTTCTATCAGGTTATAGAGTTTATACCTTTATCCCCGTCAGCATAAGTACCTTATTTTTAATTTTTATTTCACGATGTTTGTTAGATAATTTGTTATTGCATGCAGGCTTTAACGTATAGAAAGTATTGTTTTCAAATGCTTTATTGCTTAATCGTTACTCAGATCCCTTACGAAAAATAACCATGCTTTTATTATAGTACTAGGGTAGAGTGGGAGGAAACGCCCCCTTTAGGACGGTGTAATTTTATTTTATTTTATTTTATTAATTTTTTTTTTGTGAAACAGAAGTTAAATGTGTCCAGAACAGTTATCATAGTTGTAGTGACAATGACATAAATTATACACCAAGTATGAAAAATGTCCAGAGTTTCATGTTATTAGATTTTTTAACAAAAATTTAATTTGTA